TTTTTTGCCAGACTGTGTGTATAACTTGTTGTTATAATGTTTTTGCACCCATCCTGTTTTTTTTATTTTTGCAAAATTTGTCACACTTAAATGATTCAGATCATCAAACTCATTTTAATATTACACAAAGATAACCCATGTAAATACAAAATGCAGTTTTTAAATAATGATTTTATTTATTAAGGGAAAAAAGCTGTCCAAATCTGCCTGGCACTACGTGAAAAAGTAATTGCCCCCTAAATCTAATAACTGGTTGTGCCACCCTTGGCAGCAATAACTGCAATCAAGCGTTTGCGATAACTGGCAATGAGTCTTTCACATTGTTTTTGATGAATTTTGGCCCACTCTTCCTTGCAGAATTGTTTTAATTCAGCCATATTGGAGGGTTTTCAAGCATGAATGGACTGTTTAAGGTCATGCCACAGCATCTCAATTGGATTTAAGCCCGGACTTTGACTTGGCCACTCCAAAACCTTAATTTTATTCCATTACTCCTCCTTCAATACATTTAATACATGTCTACATTAATAATATAATAAAATTCGACAAGAATACCCACATTTCTGAGCGCAGTTAGTGCTACTACAGTAAATCCATGGTAAATTGTGGCGATTTGTAGATTAAATAGTCTTCTGACTGCATCATTGAGCACAGTGTTTCTGCTTTTTGTCAGCGCGGTTTCATCTGGCTGTAAACAGAGTTAAAGGGGTCATATGATGCGATTTCATTTTTTCCTTTCTCTTTGGAGTGTTACAAGCTCTTGGTGCATAAAGAAGATCTGTAAATTTGCAAAGACTAAAGTCTCAAATCCAAAGAGATATTCTTTATAAAAGTTAAGAGTCAGCCACACCCCCCTAAAACGGCTCGTTCGAACACGCCAACATTCGCGCACCGAAAATGCGAATGTTTTTTTTTTCGAACCAGTCCTACGAATCTTTTCAGTTTCGCAAAGCAAAATCACGGGCCGTCCAATATGATTTGAGCTAGGATCATGTGACCGGAGCAGCTGCTGTTGCACAAAAGGGTGAGAGTGGTGGTGCTGTTTCGAAAACCAGTGTAAACAAACATTGAAGAGTATCCCGGATAAGAGAAGAGGGTGGATGCTGAGTTCTTGTTTTTGTTGGTATTTGAGAACAGATTTATTCTCACATGTTCTTTATACAGAATAAAATTTCTATTAATTGTCCACTGAATTATGTAATCACAGTAGAGCACCGTCCGTTTTCTTTCACGTGCGCGAGTGTTATGAGTCAGAGCGCGTTCACTCTTTTTCTACACATGAAATATGAAAGCAAATAGACATATGATTTTCACTCTTGTTCTACACATGAATGCAAATAGACATGATTATGACGATATATGTGTTTTGTATGCAGCTCATAGTATTTTTATAGCAATAAAGGATGTTCATGACAATAAGCAGTGTGGAGTTATTAAACATACAAAGAGTGCATGTGATTGCTTAATCAAAATCATCTATAGATCACAATCGGAAGTTATTACAAGCGCTCAATGATGGTTTAAAGTGGGTAAGCAAATACATTAATAATTACATTCATTTTCAAGTGTAGCTTGATGCTAATTGTATTTCTAATTATATTTTAGAATGTAGCCTATTCTTGTAAGCATTATAGATAGTTTGTGTTTCTGGTGTAGAACTGGTTGTTTATCTTAGTTTAATGCTGTATGAGCAGCTGACAATGTTAAAGGGGTCATATGATGCTGCTAAAAAGAACATTATTTTGTGTATTTGGTGTAATGAATGTGTTTATGCGGTTTAAGGTTAAAAAAACACATTATTTTCCACATACTGTACATTATTGTTTCTCCTCAATGCCCCGTCTTTCTGAAACGCGTCGATTTTTACAGAAAAAACAGGAAGAGGGCAAAAACCTTTTCACGGCACTGTGTGTGTATATATATATATATATATATATATATATATATATATAACTTCCCTTAAATTGAATAAAATGTATTTTCTTTTATTTTTATTACAAATAACTTCAGTAACAGGATTTGTGTTTGATTACCTTCAGTAACACAGGACAACTGTGTTTGATTAATGCATGAAAGTGCCAGAGTGAAAAGCTGTTACTATGTTTATCATTAATTCATTAATTGAAGTTCCTGTGAGCTAATGCATCTAATGATTTAGCAGACAAAATCTCTCACAATTCACACATAGCAAACAACTCAAATTCAAAATTCAATGCTTTGTTCACCAGGCAAGCAAGAACAAT